CCTGATGCCTCTCATATTAATCATTCAACTGATCTTGATGGACCAGGTAATCTTGTGGTTGGAAATGGCACTTCTCTTGCAGTTAAATCAGTAGGTTAATTTGTTTTAAGGTCATCTTGTCAAACTTTACGCTTTAATGATCTACTATATGTCCCTAAAATTACTAAACATTTGCTCTCAGTTTCGAAGCTTGTTAGGGATTATCACATCTACTTTGAATTTCATGCTGATGGTTGTAGTGTTCGCGATGAAGTAACATGCAAAGTCATCCTTCGAGGGAGGCAGACAGGTGGCCTTTATTAATTTACTTTGGATAGTTAGTCGAATGGTTGTAATAAGGCAGAAGCTTATGCAATACATGATACTTGTAGTTCCTTTGAACTCTGGCATACGAGATTAGGCCACCCAGCTTTTACTACTTTAAAATCAGTTTGTAATTCTATTTCTGTTAACATTTCAAGTAATGCAAACCAGCTGTGTGTTGCTTGCTGTTTGGGTAAAAGTCATAAGTTTCCATATGTTGATTCAACTACAGTTTATGACATACCATTTGAACTTGTGTTCATTGACCTCTGGGGGCCTTCACCATCTCCTTTGTAGATGCGTGTATGAGGCACATATGGGTGTATCTCTTGAAAAACAAGTCTCAGGCTATCACTGCATTTAGATTGTTCAAAACAATGGTTCAGACTCAATTCTCATTACCAATCAAAGCAATCCAAAGCGATTGGGGTGGCGAATACAGGAACTGGTCTGATGAATTGGCTCATGAAGGTGTTTTACATAGAGTCACCTGCCCCTATTCATCCGAGCAAAACGGGGTGGTTGAACGCAAACATAGACATCTAATAGAGTTGGCTCTCGTGCTTCTGGCTAGAGCCTCACTTCCAATCAAGTTCTGGTCTTATGTAGTTACAACAGCTGCATATCTGATAAATAGATTACCAACTAAGGTACTGCACAACGTGTCACCATTCGAGAAATTGTTTGCAAGGAAGCCTGATTATAACACCATGCGAGTGTTTGGTTGTAGATGCTTTCCATATTTGCGAGATTTTCAATCGCATAAGTTGATGCCACGTTCTCAAGAATGCGTTTTTCTGGGCTACAGTCCTCAACATCGAGGATTTCAATGTCTTGGTACAAATGGATGAATATTTATTAGTAAACATGTGAAATTTGATGAAGTTGTCTTTCCTTTTACAGTTATTAAACAATGTACTGGTCAACAGACAGTTCCTTCAACACGATCTGCAGCTCTCAAAATCACACCTAGAAGACATGCTGAATGTTCACATGATGTGGTCCATTCTATGGACTCGAGCAGTATACCTTCTCAGACAAGTCACGATGAGAATGATACGAGCCTTGTGAATGTTGTGCCTGCACATTCGAATCACTCGACTGCTGCTCTTCTACTCAGTACTACTCCAATGATTTATACTGAAGAAAGTTCTGAACATCAGTCTCTTGAAGTAGACAATGTGCCTACCCTTGGTTAATTCTCATCCAATGGTTACTAGAAGTAAGCATGGTATCTTTAAACCAAAGGTGTTCTTTGTTGGGGAAGATTCTGCTATTCCAGTTAATATTCATCAGGCCTTGCAACCTACTCAATGGACATCTGCAGTTCATGATGAACTTGCTGCTTTGCAACAAAATGGAACATGGTCTTTAGTTTCACTACCATATAGAAGAATAGCAGTCGAATGTAAATGGTTATTCAAATTGAAGAAGAATCCTGATGGCACAATTCAACAATACAAAGCAAGGCTTGTTGCTCAAGGGTTTTCGCAAGTTCCAGGACAAGATTTTAAGGAAACCTTCAGCCCAGTAGTTAAGTTTCCAACACTTAACATTATTTTATCTGTTACAATAACAAACAACTGGCCACTATGACATGTAGATGTTAACAATGCATTCCTTCATGGTGAGTTGAGTGAGGAAGTTTTCATGAAACAACCACCAGGGTTTGAGAAGGTGGCTGAGGATGGGACTAAGCTAGTGTGTAAGTTGCATAAGTCTCTGTATGGGCTGCGTCAAGCTCCCAGAAAATGGAACAACAAATTAAAACAAAGTCTGTTGCAGATGGGTTTTCGAATGTCAAAGGTAGATGCATCATTGTTTGTCTCACTTGCTCAAGGGGAAGTAACCTAAGTGCTTGTTTATGTAGATGACATTTTAATTACTGGGCAGTCCACTGTTGCAATTGATCGTGTAGTTTGTGCACTACAAGTCAATTTCTCATTGAAGGATCTTGGTGAATTGCATTACTACTTAGGCATTGAAGTTTAGCGTACCAATGATGGTATAATGTTGTCTCAAAAGAAGTTCATTTTCGAACTGTTAGCAAAGTCTGGCATGTCAAAAGCAACACCTACCAGTACTCCTATGGTGGTTTCTAATAAGCTTCAAAAAGAGACAGGGAAGCTTGTTGATGGTGCTCGAGAGTTTCGAAGTACATTTGGAGCATTACGATATGCATGTCACATGAGACCTGATATAGTTTATAGTGTAATTGCTCAAATCGTGCATGAACCTTGTGAGAATCATCTATTGGCTGCCAAGCGCATTCTACGATATCTAGCTGGCACTATTGAATATGGATTAGTCTTTAAACCATCAAAGGAAGCAATGAGAGTAACTGCATTTGCATATGCAGATTGGGGTGGCTGCGTGGATGATCAAAGATCCATGTCTGGTCAGTGTGTGCTAGTTGGTGGCAACTTAGTGTCCTGCAGTACAAAGAAATAGAAAGTTGTCTCCAGGTCCACCATGGAAGATGAATATCGCAGCTTAGCAGATACGGTTACAAAAGTTACCTGGATCGATGCATTATTAAATGATATTGGAATAATAAGGCAAGAAAGACCAATCATATGGTGTGATAATACAAGTGCAATATCATTGAGTGCCAATCCTGTTCAACATTCACAATCTAAACATGTAGATTTAGATGTGCATTTTGTCAGAGAAAAGATTGCTGGAAATCAGTTGGTTATTAGTTATGTACCAACAACACATCAGCTTGTTGATGGCTTCACAAAGCCACTGTCAAAAATACCTTTTGCATCATTCCGAGAGAAGGTACACGTTTGTTTAGCAAAGGAAGGAAGAGAAGAAGAAGCAGGAGGAATGTTAGATGAATGATTGAACTGGTCACGTTGCATGTGTATGGATGAAGAAGGTTCAAGAAGGTTCCAGTTAGATTCATGTGCAAAGGATGTGCTGCGCTGCAGAAGATTACAACCTCAGGCTATTAGGGAAGGTTGTTAGGAATAGCACAAATTGTTAGGAGCAGTTTGTAATTCTGTTAATAATGTTGCTTGAAGGTTCAACAACTTAAGCTATATAAGCAATGTAAACCGTATCAAGCCATTTATCAATGAGAATGCATTAGTTGCTTGATTCATTTATTTACAAGTTCTTAACATAAAAGAATCGACGATCGTAGAGAAATGATAGGCTTTTCCATAATGGAAATATCACTTGAAATCTGCATTAATCACCAGAGTGCTACTGCATAAATAAATTGTCTACATCATCGTAGTTCCCTGCTTAGCTTCAAGGTGTAAAATAAATATAACTGTTCACTGCAATTTGTTATTCTAAACCTCGTCTGTATGCATACACTTCTGAAATATTAATGTTTGATGTAAAAAACTATATTCTAAATCTACGACAAACTTGGATTTCCTGTCCATCCTTGAGTGTCTTGTGGTGCTTTGATTCTCCATCAGTCATGGTGGAAAATGCACATGCTTGATTCCTGGTTTCTCCATTACCAATACCAAAGTTTATGCGCCATCAAACTCTTTTGAAGGGCTAAGTGCACCACCAAAGTCAAATCATCATCATAAGTGGGAACTTGGAAAAAAAGTTTTACCTAGTTCCATATAAATTCTGATTTTGAAATTCCATTTGATCTATCCAATTCAATCTTATCAGACATCAAATTATGATATGAACTAGAAATTTCATTTGAACTATCCGATTTGATCTTATTAGATATCAAAATATGATACGAATATGACACAACTTAAAGCGTATAATAAACACGATACATCATGCTTAATATATGTATATCATATTATACACGATACATCATGTTTAATATATGCATATCATATTATACATAGACACAAAATGACTAATCTAATCTTTTCAAACTTTAGGAACATCCAACCCATAGTTCCAACATCAGGGAAAGGAGGGGGCACTTTCTTGAGAATCTGATGCGCTTTTTACCTTTCTTTTTAATTACTTTTTCTGTAAAGCTTGTGACCCCCAATAAATAAAATGAGAAAATCAATAAGGTAACCTGGAAAGTTACCAGAGGGAGAATGTATTATATAACAGGAATATAAAGCCAATTTCCCAGTAGGGATTATTACTTTTTTTTTTTAAACATAAACATCCTGAATCCAAATGCTATTTGTTCCAAATTTTTTTCAATTTTAAATGACCATAGAGAGGATAATACGAAGACTGCAATGGTGAAGAGACACCAAAAGCAGAACACCCACCACCCGGTTGTGATTTCCTATATTGTCCACTGGTTCAGAACATATAAAAATAGCAAGTTGATAATAGCATTTCAAGTTTTTTTAGGCTTTAAAAGTTCATATTCTCATACCATTAACTGAAAATGCATTGAACATAGACTGCAAGATGAATGAAGAATCCCATACTCCAATTTTACCTCTCAAAGTTCAAACAATGAAATAAACACACATTACTATACAAGCAAAACAAAGAAACCATGTGAGAAGAAAGAAACATATATGAATAAAAAAGAATCAAAGCTCCATCAATGGAAGGAGGACTTACAGAAATACTTGTCAACATCTGAAAGAGAATATACAAAATAAATAAATAAACAAACAAAATCACAGGGAATGTGAGATTCTTCTTCCTCTCCTAACATACATCAATTAGTTCAATAAGCAACAGATGCAAATCCCAACCCCTTTATATTACTAAGAAATGACCATAATAACTAAACTATGGACTCTCGAGTCTCATTTGTCATTTCCCTCGCCTTGGTTTTCCTCCTGCAACCTGTGAGCTTCCACGTCAGCTTGTGCAACTTTCTTCTCTGCTTCTTTGGCCTTCAAAGCCTGTAACTTGGCATGGTTGTAGTAAGCAACACCCATAAATGCAAGCCCATAACCAAATAAATTGATGGGTGTCACTGTATCCTTAATGACAGACCAAGAGAAGGCAATTAACAACCAGTCCTTAACAACCCCACCTACGTTCATTGTCAATGCAGAAGTCTTCCCAACGAGAAGGAAAACAGCAAGGTTCAGAGCAAAAGCACAGAACGAATTGGTTCCGAATACAACGAAATTGAATTCGAAACTCGACGTCTGTTTCAAAATTGGGTACTCAACAAAAATCCATGGCACCAAAAGGAAAACCAAACAGCAAGGTGCAACGTAATATAGAGAAGTAATCGGATTCAAGGTGATCCCTTTAGAAGTGAGCAGGATTTGGATCAAAACCAACCTGGTAGCCTCGAATGCAACGGCGCCTAACTGCAACAGGACACCCCATGTATCGAATTTAGCTTCCCCATAAGCTGCAATGGCGACCCCGAAAGAGATGGAAACCATGTTGATCATCGTGTCCGTCTTGAAGCTCTCTTTTTTAAAAAGAACACCAATGGAATAAACAGCGACGGGCATCAAGGCCTTGAGCATCTGAATGAAGGAAACGGATAAGTAAATGTAGGCTGAATTGGAGAGCCAGAGGCTGAGGGAATAAAGGGCGCCGATGGGTACGACGGAGGAGATGTAAAGGTCTTTGGACATGGAAACGGGCTCGACGACTTTGAAGACCTTGATGAGGAGGAAGGCGAGGGAAGCGCAGAAGGACATATGGATCATTGTAAGGGAGATGGGGAAAGGCCAGTTGTAGAGCTTCTTGTCGAGGATGTACTTGTTGTAGACAATGACGGTGAAGCTGAGGAAAATCCAGATGGAGACGTAGGTGTATGAGAGGATGATGCTCTTGATGACATTGTCGCTCAAGGAACCACCTTTTCCCATTGTTTTTTTAGATTCTGGGAGTTTGGGGGGAAGCGCTGAATGGGAAGAAGATAATGGTGATGATGATGAAGAAGAAGAAGGGGTCAGAGCGGATTGTGAGGGGAGGAGTTTCGTGGGAGAGTTTGAAGAAACGAAAATAGAATTATGGTTTTGAATTGAAACGTTGGCAAAAAGATGGTAGCTTTAGCCTTTAGCTTGTTGAAAAATAGACCATTTACCTTGGGCTTTTTTGCATGCTTCTATATATCGTATATTCTTTTCTTTTAAGTAGAATTACATGCAAGGCCAGTTGATATCAATGAGACAAACTAGATTATATTGAGTGAAATAATCACGAATTTTCGTTAATCAGTCAATAAATTAAATACCATACACTTTTTCTCACTCTATAGCAATAACCTTCTGCCTACACAATACATCAAAGCATTAATAGAAAATATACTGTTAGCATTATAAAATAGATGAACAAACCATTAGATTTAAAGTTTTAATCTTTAACACCACAAACTCAAATTATGAATCATAATCTGCAAATATATTAAGATTAAGAGGTTAAGCTTCAAATGACATGTATTAAGATTATATAAAATGCAACACTAAGAATTCTCAGAAGAAAAAATCCTCAAAAAGCTAAATCCTCGATTGAGTTCTTGTAAGGCTACAATACACTTTACGCAGCAGTCAAAAACAACATGGTAGAGTGCATCCGCTGCTTTAAAAGGCGTTCCGCACAAGTTTACAAAGAAGTACACATCGGCAACCAAGTTTAAGCTTTTCATGGTTTGAGCCCCGAAGACTGGTATTGTTCCATTTATGATGGCACTACATAAACAAATTGATGAGCATCAGAAAATTTTTATTACCATCGGTATATCCAACACAAAATTTCAAGACATGCAAATATATAACACATATATATCAATTGCATGCATATAAATATATTTATATTAAAATATAAATCTTACAATTATTAATTACATTTTGATTTTGAATGTAATTACGTAAGAAATGAAGATATTTTAGATAATAAATAAATAAAAATTGGTTTAAAAGATTAAAATCTTGTGCCAACCAATACGGACTGGTATGCACCGGTGTGGGCCAGTATTGACCAAAATAGGCACAGCACACACTGAAATTTTAACCAAAACGGAACCTAAACTAGTTGATACCCATATAAAACCGGTACTGGTTTAACTTTCGACACAATGTGATATCATGCAGTCAAACAATGCATTTTTTAGCAAGCATATAAATGTTCTAATATCAAAAACAGGCGGAAGGCACACAAAGGAACATACTGTACGTGGCTGTACCAATCTGCTCGGGAAGCTCCTTTATATCCACCTCAAACCTCTCTTGGACCTGCAACGTATTGAACAAATTAGGTCAAAGGATGACAAACCATGGGTCAAAACAATGTTTGGAAGTTGTGGACCCAAACCTGATTCAGCACATCAGAATCAGAAGCAGATGAAACAAATGTAATTGCAAGACCCTTGGTGCCAAACCGACCAGCTCTACCAACCTACCACCAAAGAACCGCGGAACATCATTCAGTATGTGCAGAAAAAAGAAGCAAGAGTGGTATGCAATTGAAACAAACACTACCCTGTGCAGGTATGTATCAGCAGAATCTGGCATGTCATAGTTGATGACAATGTTAACACATTCAATGTCAATTCCCCTTCCAACCAAATCTGTAGCCACAAGAATTCTTTTATGCCCCTCCTTACAACCCTTGTAGCAAGTTAACCTACATATCATAAATTAGCATTACAACCAAGGGTAAGAGATTTGGAGGCAAATATAATGGGAAAAGCCAAACCACAACACGTTTATGCAAGAACCATTAACAAAATAGGAAATCATGTTTTAAAAAATCCATAATACTGATATATATACAGCATACACCATAGCATAATACACAATCTAAGCGACTGAACCACCATATTTGGTGCATTGAAAAACATGATATGAAAAAACCATCCTTAAAACCTTACATAGGGATCATTATACAAGTAAAGTGTCGCAGCCGTATTTCGGGTGGGCCCGGAGTTGGGCTTCGACTTTAAAAAAATGTTAGAGTCGCCACTGATCATTTAAAAAACATTAAGATTGATCGGACACCATCTTACCTGATTTGTGTCTGACCAGAAATATGTTGGATTCAGGAGTCGGTTACAGTCAAGGAAGGATTAGCACTATTGGACTGCCCTTTCGGTACTAATTAATTTCCAGTTGTCTTAATTTTGAAAATTGTAAGTTAAATTAAAAGGTAAATTTTGATCCAGATTCCTTTAATGGATTTAAAAAGCGTACATTTGAAAAGTCAAAAAACCGTTAGATAAGTAAAATGCAGATATCAAAAGGAAAAATATATGTTAAATTATGATGCTTTAGGTAAAAAATATAGGCATGTTGAGGAACTAACAGAAATAAAAGCGTGTTTGTATTAAAACCCACAACAAACAAAAAAAGTCTATTAAATTATAAAAGTAAAACACAAATTGCAGGATTAAACAACAAAAGAAAAGAAAGGATAAAATAGGAATAAATAAATAAATTACCTAAAAAACAGGAAAAAGAAAAAAAATAATGGAAAAAGAATATAAATAATAAAACAGAACCAAAAATAGAGGAAAAATAAAATAAAAAACATAAAATAAAAAATATATAATAACATGTAGTATTTAAATAAAATCAGAAAAAGAGAAAAATATAATATATATATACATATAACAGTAACAAAAAAAGATAATAAAAAATAGAAAAGTAAAATAAAAATATATAAATAAAAAATGTTAGGAAAAAAAATAAAAAGCAGAAACAAACAAAATAAAAAAAATTAGAAAATAAAAAAAATATATATAAATATTAATGTTAAATTAAATAAAGAAATGAGAGAAAAACATATATATATATATATTATAGTATTTAAATAAATAAAAATAAGAATAAAAAGAGGAATTAAAACATGAAGGGACTAAATTGAAAGAATAATAACGTGGGGGTAAAATTTAAAAATAAATTAGGGATTAAAATTGATTTTAGGATTCAAAATGAATGTTTCAAAACAATGGGGGAACAAAACTATAATTTCCCTTTATTTCGGTAAAACACACGGATCCCAAGGTCCGTGGGTCGGTCAACGAGTAACTCAGGTTTGGTATAAATACCAAAAATCATAAACACCTTTCATAATTTCTCATTCTTTCAAACCGATCAAACACCCCCTTATTTCTCTAAAATGTTCTTCATTTTTGAATAACATGGCCGCTGGGTTCATATGAACCCAGATTCCGGCTGGTCGCTGTCTCGTCGGCCGTCGTTCATCGGCGGTGAAAATTTTTTTTTTTTTTTTATTTTCGAAAGCTCATTAAATCCACTTTTCAAAAATCGCGTTTATTTTCAAAAACGAGCCTCGGGGAAGGCTATATTTAAAAGAGACCCTTTGAAAGCCTTCCCCCTTTTCATCGGCTTTTTGATATTTTTCAGTCAAAAATGACGAGCAAAACTAACCATCACATGCAAAGCCGAGCAAGGTAACAAAAAAGATACCTTTTTATTCGCTTTTTCCTTTCGAAGATTACTAAACTTTGCTTCCGATTTCTCATTGTTTCTCTATTTTTTCATTACGTATTTTCTTGTCAAATTTTCCTCTGTTTTTTGTGATTACATGCGCATATAAATAGTCTTAAAAATCCTATTTTTAGAGACTCCTATTCGAACTAAACTTGTTTGTTATTGTTTGGTTTTGGCTTGTTTTGGTGTCCCACTAACACACGGTGATGTGTTTGTTGAGCCAAGAAAAATGGCCGGCGTGAGGTATGAGACGTGAGGAGTCTTTGAATGGAGATACGACGTTGAGGAGGTAGGGAGTTAGGGTCTCAAACCCTAACTGACCCGGGTTACATCTTGGAGTCAGTTCGGGTCTGAATCGGGTCTTGGGTTACTGGTTCGGGTTGTAGCTTAGGCCAACTGGGTTTTTTGGTTGTAACATTGGACCTGATACAAAACATGTAATAAAATAAATAATAAATATATATAATATATGTTCAATATAATATAAATATTATAAATGTATAACATATAACGTGTATGCCTTATGATGATATAAATATGTAATATATATGTAATACATAATATTACATAAAGCGGGACAAAATGGTGTGTCTACAACTGCCCCTCTTTGCTCATAATCGTGCAGCGGGAATAGGGCAAAGATTAAAAGACACCAATTTCGTCCACCATAAATGTATAATTTAACATCCACTATTACGGGAATCGATTCCCATTTTATCGAATATCCTCTGTCATAGAGTTGAAATTCGATGGTATGATTGATTTGTTGTAGCTAATTTGAACCAAATCACGAAATGACTCCCTTATCATGAGGTTAAGTTGAATCGAGCACGATATCCTTCGTCGGGAAGTTGACACCGAGCTCCAAGCATTGGAAATTAACCTCTGGATCATTTTCTGGCACCCAATATACTCTGTCGTGACGTTGAGATTTAACATGAAGACTTTGGTGTTGCTGTGTTACTGATGACTCATTTGTCTTGAACTTGGGTCAATCTTTTGGGTATGATATCCTTCGTTGTGAAGTTGAAATTGTAGGAAATCAGAAAGTGGCTTCTTGTTGCCACTTTTGACCTTGGTCTTCTTGTAATATCCCAAAATCAGGGTTAGTGACTAAAATGGAATTTTTGAAACTTTGAAGTATGATTTTAAAAGATTTTAAAATATAGGGACTTATTTGTAAATATTTTTGAGGGATTTTTTGTAATTATTAAATGAAGTAAAGGGTAAAATGGTCATTTGACAAGGAAGATTTTTATTTTCCCTTATAAGATAAGGAAACCACGTAGGAAGAGGGAAAAGGAAGTTCCAGAGTTCTTTTCATCTTTCTTCTTTCTCTCTATCGTGAACCAAGGTTGCAAAGGTAAGTCCTATTGTTAGATAATTTCTTGTTGAATTCAAGGTTTGTTTATGATCATTAGATGATAATTAAGCTTAAAGAAAGCTTAAATCATCTTAAAAACAAAGGATGGTAGAGTTCGGAGAGATTAAAGATTAAGGGTTTTTAAATGAAATCTTGGAATAAAGTTCATTACTCAAATTGGAAGATAAATTTGACTTGTCATCAACTTAATTAAGATATATGAAGTGATAGAATTGAATTAAGAACATATTGAAAAATTGGTATGATTATTGATTGCCATATGGAGAAAGGAATTTTGAGATTTAAAGGGTGATAAAAGAGTATAAATGAGTTTAAGTACGTATATAAGAGTTAAGAATATGGTAGAGGATGTAATATGAAGTGTTTAAGTAGAATTGGAGTGATTTTCAGGCTTAAAAATGAATTATGGGTCATGTGCATCGATGCACATTCAATGTGTTCCGATGCACATTCAATGTGTACCGATACATCAAGGGTATTTCCAGAAATTGTTCAGTGTGTATCGATGCACATGAAGTGCATCGATGTACCCATTAAAAATGGAAACATCGAATGCAATTAGTGCATCGATGCATAAGGAGTGCATCGATGCACCGCCTTAAAATTAAAACATCGAAGGTGATTTGTGTATCGATGCATGGGTAGTATATCGATGCACATGTTAAAGAATGCATCGATACACTGTAGAATGTATCGATGCACTTTAAGGGAAAATAAAATTAGGTCTTTCTTTTGGTCTAAGAAATGATAGATTAGAATACATCAATTAGATACTGATATGTATCAATGTATAAACATGTAGATATCGAGCACGAACAAGTTTCGGGATGACCATCAAGTTAAGATTCGATCGGAAGAAAGGAAATCATAAAAGGGGATTGGAACTTAGTGAGGCCAAGGTGAGTGCATACAAGTTAGTTTATGATGTTTAATGGAAATAAGACTTGCAACGAGTCTATTTCCTATATTAGAATGCATGAATTTATGATCATATGCAAATGTTTGATTTGGGTATATGTGATATATATTACAGTATGTATTAAATGATTTGTGTGAATACATGTATTATGATAAGTTATAGGAATTAATATGAATGATCTATATGATTACATGGGAATGTAAATATATGGTTATGGAACAAAGTATGTAATAATAGAATGTTATTTGAGTTACTTAACAATAAGTCATAAGATTACAGGCATATGTAACGTAAGTTATAAGATAAGAAAATATGAGCTTACATGTATTTGTAGATATATATATATATATATATATATATATATATATATATATATGAATAAGATATGATATATGTTTATGTAAAACCATGCAAAGTGATATGAGAAGGGAACTACATGATTATGTGATCATATGAGAATGAAATAAAGAGCAATATGATATATGCCATGAGATATATGAAAGAGAAAGTATATGTGATAAGTGAAAGTGAATCATATGATTATATGAAGATGTTCTACGTGCAAGTGATCTACGTGTATGTGTGATTTATATGGAAATGGATTACTTGAATACGTGTAATCTTATAAAAAATGTAATAATAAGAATATGTGTATATGTGAATGCATGATAACATAAATATTAATGCCCATGTTATGTGTCATGAGAGCTAGAGGTATAGTTGGCATGCCAAGAGTCGAGGGTCTAAGCGGTCCTTCGGGACATATATGTATTCCTTGGAACATGTGTGATGTCTTTTAAGACACATACTTGATCCTTTGTATATGTATATGATTCTTAAGGAATTTTCTACGTGGTCCTTAGGGACA